GAGGGGGGGGGGGACGCGGGCGCTCCCCCCCCCCCCCCGCCGGCGCCGCGGGGCTCGCCGGGAGCCGGTCCCATCCCCGCAGCCGGGTGACCCCTTCTTGTCCCACAGGGCCTGTCCATGGATGCCAGCAAGAAGGTGGATCTGAAGATAATTATCATAGGAGCTCTGGGGTAAGGAGCGGCACTGGCGATGGGAGGGAAGCCCCACGTGTGCGCTGGTCTGGGAGCCTGTGGGTGTGCAGCCCCCATCCTTGCTGCGACCGACACCCTGAGCCCGGCTTTGCAGTACAAATCCTCACCCGCGTCCCTTCCCTCCCGCCAGCGTGGGCAAAACCTCCCTCCTGCACCAATACGTGCACAAGACGTTTTACGAAGATTACCGCACCACGCTGGGCGCCAGCATCCTGACCAAAGTCCTCGCGGTGGACAACACTCCCCTGAAACTGCAGGTGAGCGGGGCTGGGACTGCCCGGGGTGCCTGCCCGGATCCCGCGGGCACGTGTGTCCCACCATGTCCTGCTGTCCCCAGATGTCTACTGTGTCATGAGGTGCGGGACTGGATTTGCAGGGCCTGATTTTCAGCTGCCCTGAGCATCCATGAACTATGCTGAAATCCCGCATGAGTTCTGGGGGCTCAGCACTCCCTGAAGCTGGTCCCCTGATCTTAACAGAGCACAGGGCTGCAAACACCCACGCCGCTCGTGTCATGTGTCTGTACCCGTGCCCTTCTCTGCCCTAGATCTGGGACACGGGGGGACAGGAGCGATTCCGGTCCATGGTGTCGACCTTTTACAAAGGCTCAGACGGCTGCATGCTGGCCTTTGACGTGACGGACAGGGAGTCCTTTGAGTCCCTAGACAACTGGAGAGATGACTTCCTGGAGAAGGTCATTCCAAGGGAGCAAGATTTCCCCATGGTCGTCCTGGGGAACAAAATAGACATCTGCGATCGGCAGGTAAGGGTGGAGGAGAGAGAACAGGGTGCATGGATTGGGATGCCTTAGTACCCCAAAAGTTTACGAGCGCTGATCCTTCGCCTGCAGAACCAGCCTTCTCCCGATGCTCACATGAAAACCAGGGCTCCCGGGCGAGGAGCGGCTGGGCACCCAGTGCTGCCGCCTCCCCCGTGCCCCTCGGAGGGCACAAGCAGCATCCCTCCACTGCCCTTCGCAGCAGAGATTGTCCCCACTGAAGGCAGCAGGAACTAAGTATCTCAGATAGCTGCCTGCGCTGCCGGCATCCTGCCCTCACCCTGCAGTGCCTGGATGGCCCCAGAGCGTCCCCTCTGCCAACTCTCCAGCAGCTACGGGCAGCCCTGCACAGGGCTGTGTCGTGGCTCCATCCTCCTTTCCTGCAGGTACCCAAGGAGATTGCCTCAGCCTGGTGCAAGGAGAAAGACATCCCTTATTTTGAAGTCAGCGCCAAGAATAACATCAATGTTGCAGAGGCTTTCGAGACCCTCGCAAAGCAGGCATTAACAACGGTGAGCATCGCTCCCGCACCAAGCCTGTGCCCGCAGCAGGGATTTGGGTGGGAGCCGGACTCAGCCACTCCCCAGAGCTGATCCGACAGACCCTCACAGCCCACCTTCTGATGCAGAATATCTTCTATTCATAACGTGTAGGAGAGCCCCAGGAAGAGAAACAGATCAGTGTTTGATTTCTTAAAATAGATCTAAAAAAAGTTAGAAAAGAATAAGAATTGTTATTTCTCTTTGCCTGTGGTGACAGGAATGGGGCATGTGGCACCACACAGTGCGCTAGCACTGTCCTCTAGCGGCCATCCCATGGGGACCTTCGTGTCCCCACGCCAAGCAAGCGGGGTGGCCCCACTCCTCAGCTGAGCCAGGCGGCTTTTCCCTGGATTTTGTCTTTAATCACGAATCAAGACTGAACCTGTTCCCCAGTCCTTAGGTCCGCTCAGGCTAAACTCTGAGCTAACGTCACTCACCCTTTCTCTTCTCTGCTTTTTCCAGTATAAAGGGATTTTTGAGAGTTATTTAACCGACTCCATCAAACTTACTCCCAATGACAAGCCCAAGAAGAGCTGCTGCTGACTCCGGGCACGCTGCCGCGCTCCAGGCTGTCCTGCGCGAGCACGGCCCAGCCGAGCACCCCACGGTGCCCAAGGCTGGAGCCCTGCCCAGGAGGACCGTGCCCTCCGCCCGCCCCACCCCAGCCGCAGAGGTTGGCCAAGCCAGGACACAGGAGGGCCGCCGCTCGACACGCCAGGGCCAGCTGGCTGCGCATCCCGGGGCTTGCTGCTTCCCACATCTCCGGAGCTGCTCTCCCAAACCAGCAGCCTCCCAAATCGCCGCTGCATCACGGTGGCCCCGTCCCCCTTGAACCACTGCTGTGTGGCACCCGAGTGGGCGATCCCCCTGCGGTGACGGTGCCAGGGAGCCAGGCAGTGCTCCTGATGCCTTGCCAGAGACCATGACCTTGGCCCCGCGGGTGACCCTTCCCGGTGCGTGGACTGGTGGCCCTGCGGCGCTCACGGTGCTCACGGTGCGTACGGGCTGTCCTGGGGGAGGAGTGGGGCTGGTGGCCACGGCACAGGTCTGAGAGCAGACCCCTCCCGGGGTCAGCCACTGCGGATGTAAGCGTTCCATGCCTCAGTTTCCCCTGCTCTCATGCACACCCCCTGTCAAACACCTTCCACCTCCCGCGTCACTGGTGAGGATCCTAAGTAAAGCACTTTGTCAGGGATTCTTTTTTTAAAAAAAAAGAAATTAAATATTTCATTTTTATTTATATATATATGTGTTGCAAAATGTTCCTGTGGTCCGGCAGCAGGAGGACGGGGTGGGGGCTCCGGGTTCTTGTGCTGTGCCTTGGGCCATGCTCCAGACTTTCCTCCGGCGAGGCCAGCTTCTCGGGGCAGGAGGATGCATTTGGGGACTGGATTTTTTTTCCAGTGCAAATTTTGGGTCAGGGGAGAGAGGAGGCATCTGGGGCATCGTGCAAAGTGGGTGTGCAGTGGTGGTGTGGGGGCCTGGCCGGGGCAGCTGTCAGCAGAGGGAGCCTGCTGGGAGCCGAGCAGAGCGATCGCTTCCCTTCTTGCACCCATCTTGCTCTGGCTCAGGCACCTTTAAGAAGCTGGACCCAGGCACAGGCTGGGGCTGACCAGAGAGGTGGCCGTGGCCACCCTGTGCCACCTTCCCTGCAGCCTCGGGAGCCGCATCCCTGGGGCTGCAGCACCCTGCTTGCTGCAGAGCCATAGGGCTGGATGGACCCGGGGAGAACCCCAGCCAGGCACCCTGCCCCATGGCTGCCCGGGCAGGTCTCCACGGGACCTCCTGCCCTCTCGCCACCCTTCTCCAGACCCATCCACACTGACCCCAGTGGTCCTGCAGAGCTTCCCAGGGGCCGTGGGGGCTCTGCCCTGGCATCACCCGGACCTTTCCATGAGCAACAACCCCATCGCGGCTGTTCCCCACTCAGGACCACCGAGCCGTGGC